TCCCTTCTCACTGTATCCTCTACTTGCCTTCCTCCAGCCTAATGCACCTCCGCTTTTACTACAGAGGTATATTCCCAAGCGAACCTGACCATTTCCAGTTAAACTGTCTACTCCTTTGGCTGCAAAGAAAAAACAACTCCCTAGCAAATGGCTGGGTCAGAAAACTTAACAAGAATAGTAGACAGGACATAGATCTTTTGTCTAGTACTCTTCACACTAAAAGAACCAACAGTGCTGAATATGATTATACTTTACAGCTACTGCAAGGGGTAACTGCCACAGCACACTTATACAGCACTAGTACGTGGTATCTGCTCTATCAATAGGAAATATGATCAAGGGAGTTACTACACATTATTTTATATTTGTTAGGAATCAAACCAGCCCAAAGCTGTTGAGACTTGATAAGGCGCTTGGTACCTTGACCCTAAAACATGGAAAGAGTAAAATGTAGGCGAACCTTTCATGGATCCAAAAGAAAAAGGCAACAGTGGTCACAATTTCACGACACCACCCATTAAGAAGGCTCCATAAGCACTGTGTACCACTGACACCGAGCACAGTTAGTGACTGCAGGACATGTAGGTTATAGGAACATATGTGTGCACCACTTGTGGTGGGAATAAGAGGCATAATGGCTCTTACTATTCGCCTAACTGGTGACAACGACTGCTTGGTTTTTCACTCTGTGACAGTGAGAATCCACAGGGTAAAGCCTGGCAATGAGCAAACACAGACAGCTCTTATTATGAGAAAGCTGCTACCAGCTTCCAGCCTCACCTGTGACCTGTTCTCTTTTCTCTCCTCAACAGAGCTTCATAAAAGCACCACTGAGTTTTTTACATGTGCTGCCCTTATACTCAGGACTCTCTGCAAACCTCCGTAAAGCTTTCCCTGCCAAACTCTCATCTTTGAGTTGTCTGTGGCGATTCCAGATAGTACAGCCACAGGGAATAACAGGGCTCCTTAATTTGTATTTCATTCACCCTTGTTCATGTTTCCATTTTGTTCTATTATAAAAGCAAAACTGGAAGCAGCATTGTACACACACAAGGCTTGTTTATGAGAAAGGCTGTCCCACATCCCTAGTACAGCAACAGTGGGTACCACAGGCCAGGCTCAAAAGCACTCCCTGAATAGCATCCCCTACTGCCACGCTCAGAGCCAGGATAGTGGGGTAGAGGCACCGTGGGGCTGATGCAGCAAGGCTTTTCTCACTCCTTCTTCAGCTGCTGCCGAGATTCCCTGTCACCACACTAGATGGCACAGCTTACAGAATAAAATTCAGAAAACTCCCGAGACAGCGCACATGGGCCAGGGCTTCCTAATAACAGCTACAGCTGTAGAGTTGTTTATAGAATTGCAATAGTAAATATCCACCCTACTGTTTTGGTTTTGAAATGTGAAAAAGTGGCAGGTTTGAGGCTCCTGATCTTAGGCCAGTCAGCTGGCTGGTAATTCTGCAGAGTCACATGTAGCTTTTCAAAATATGGTCCAGCAACTGCTATCACATTTACTGAATAAACAATGGTGCAATGAAGCCTTGATGTTCACAGAATGCTAATTTCCAAACTAACACCTCATCAGAAATGATTGTGTGAACAAAATAAAATCTGGAATTCATTAGTAGCAGAATTGTGTCCCTGAGACTTTGAGAAACTATCTCCTTGCCCCTTTTTTGTGCTGTCACTTTGCTGGGTTCCAATGAAAGTTTAAAAAAAATGCAAGATACATTTTGGAGTATTTTTGTTAACCTGCTTTGGAAATTCTTTCAGGAGGCAGAGGTCTCCATGTTTCATGGCATGTGAGCATTTCAAGAATTCCTAGAGGGGAAGGGCTATCAGAAACCAGGGGTAAGTTACCATCTGCAACGATCTGTGCGTTTGCTTCAGAACAGGAGCCTCAGTCCTCAGCACTCTGTGAGCTCTTGGGCTGTGACTCTCTTCACTTCTTGTCTGTCCAGCATCTCTGTTTCTAACACTCGATAAGTGATCAGTGGCTCAGGAATTTCAGCCTTAGTATTCACCAAGAACCTTATTTTTAAAAAAGGAAATAGAAAAAAAAATGTAGGTATGCTAAGAGGATTTCCAAAGCACAGATCCATTGCTACCTGGACAGGGAATCGTTGTTACAACCGTGACTGAACCACCTAACACTAGTCATACCCAGCATAAATCCACATTGCCCCTGGAAGGGAGAGTTCTGCCTTTCCTTTAGCCACCTGTTCTTGTTTTCTCCCCTCTGCTGGCAGAAGTATTTGTGTAGATGAAAGAAAACATTTTTTTTTAATTTTCTGCATTAATTTTCAGCTGGATCAGTTACCTAATCTGACCCACTTCAGTGGTCACATGAAAGCAAAGGCCTGCACAAAACAGGCTGTGAGGGCAGAGGAGCCAAAGGGTCAGGTAACTCTTTTCTGCAACAGTGTGGATTTATGCTGGACTGAAGTGCAATCCTACCAGGAGGTTTGCAAATTATGAAGCCTTTTTGCTTATGCTACCCACTGCAGCCACTGCAAACAAGTAATCGTTGATAAAGCTGAACCCCTTGCTCGCAAAAGCCTCCCTCACCTCCGAACGGTGGCTGTTCCACAGCAGATTGCAAAGAGGGCCCTGGTCTAGGAGACCACAGCACTCAAAGTGCATTTGCATCAGTGGGTGCTGCTGGCACCTGGAGGCGACTGGGCAAAACCAGCACATGCCCTCTGGGGACAAGGTAGGACCTCTGTGGGAATCGGGGATCTGGGTTATAGAACTGTCCTTCCCTGCCTGGCTCTGCGGCCAGATTGTCTCTGGTGGCACCCGAGTCCTTTGCAACTCCCTCTTTTTGTAATCATTCAGATGCATTTCTAGTAACAACAGTTACTCTCCGAGCACGCAGATCAATCAGTGCGCTTTGCTTTAGTTTCTTCTGCAGATATTGGGTGAAAAAGAGTCTGTCACCAGAAGAGACTCGTATGAGCATGGAAGATGAACAGAACCAGAGGAGAACTTTGCTCTTTTCTTGCTCATTAAAGCAGCACCCTGCTTTTCATCACGTGCATTTTTGTGTCTTCAAAATAAACTGTTCCTTAAGGGGTTTTGTAATAGTTAATTCTAAGCTTTGTTAGTTTGGTGTCTTTTCCTTCCTAAGATGTTTTATCAAATATACTTAAGAAAATAAATACTGGGGTTAGCAGCTCCAAACACTGTCTCTTCATTTGTGCTCAGGGCTGGCAGAATGATGCGCTTTTAGTGCAATGGCACAACACTGAATGATTTTTGTCTGCTCTGCTTCAGGGAGATGACTAGGAATTTTGAATTGCAGTACAGACATGCTACCTAAAGAACAGTAGCACGTAGGTGCCTTACCTAATAATCCCATGTGAGCAAGGTGGTGTACAAATACAGAGCATGGGACTGTCTCTGTTTTGAAGGCTAGAAGAAAGGAATAGAAGTAAACTGAACATATAATCTACTACACAAAAAGCTTCAGTAGTTACTACAACACGTTACAGTCAAGTGTCTGTTTTAAGCAGCCAGAATGAGCTGCACCTTGAAGCATCAACAGTGGTAAAAGAGGGTGCACCCCAAACCACATTCACTGAGAAAGTGTTCAGGCAGGTCCTGGCTTCTCAGCTCTTTTCTTTCACTGCACTATTGAGCAGAAGGTCTGGGCAGTGCATGTTTAGCGCATGCCAGAATGCATCCCACACATCAAAGTACCAAAATAGATATTTTTACTCACGCACAAGCTCAGCACTTTGTTGGAGGAGGGCTTCAGAGAAGGTGTCTTAGCTACCGTGGTAAGCAAAGGAAGGAAAAATAACTAGATCATGAATTCTGTGTATTTACACAGGCCACCATATTCCGTATCAGCCAGGAAACTTCACCGCGAAGACTGCACACTTGTGCTTCTATAAATTTGAGTGACATTTACTATCCTGTTAAGCTGAGGTAACACTGCTCTAAATGACACTGAAAGATTAAGAAGTTCACACACTGGAAATAGACTTATTGGGACATCCACTTAGCCATTCTCTTTTCTAATAAGAAAGCGGGTAAAATCTCATCAGTGGGCTTTAGAAATCCAGTAATGACAACAACTTTCTTTGGATAAAAAGAACAGATTTTTTAAAAGGCAGCAGTCAAAACTGAATGGAACTGCCTCCCCTAACTCCTTCTCTGGTGTTAATAGTCTACACCCATAAACATTTTTACAGTTTGTCACTCCAGAATTACCGATTCAAAATGCAAAGTCTTAAGTTGCATTTACTAAATTCCTTGGATTCCTAGTAAGATTTATCTGTATAACCTCTTAATTTTGAAATAAAATTTGACATTATCACTTCAAGAGGAAAATTGAGTAGTAAAATGAAGGTGTATTAAAATAAACATCAAATAACCTCTGCAGTAATGGGCTCTAAAGTCCTGGTAGTCCAAAAAAGCTTCCTGGGCATAATATGGAAGTGAGGAAAGCAGGACAGTGTTAAGAAATCCAACTGTAGTCATTCGAGTATGATGCAGAAGTTACAAAATTAGTTGCAAATTCATCTCACTTCTCAGGGATCCCAGAAAAAGCCTGGATTTTCATTAGTACGGGCATTAAAAGTAAAAGCAAATCAGTCACCTTCAGCGCACCTCTGTTAGAGCATATAAATCTAAGGCCACTTGTACTGCTAGAATTGAACTTCATAAACTTCTGCGGTCATGATAGCTCCAATTCTTGCTTTCTTGCAAAAATCGAAAACTGAAGCATTTGGTCCGGGACTTTTGCGTGTCACCTCCCGTCATTCTTCCATTACGCGTGCCTTAAAACACTGGCAGCCCGACCAAATGAGGAAAGAGACCGGAAAAAAAAGGCGTGTCGGAAGAGGGGAGGGGGGACAAAGCGAGCCCTCCAACTGTTTTCTCACCTAACCACCCTGCCTTTCCCCCTGCCGAGCCCGCCCCGCGGCCGGCTCCTCCCCGGCTCCGGGGCTTAAAGCGGCGCCGGGGGGGGGGGGGTGGGTGTGTGTGTGTGGGGGGGGATCCCGCTGCCACCGCCCGGGCATGGCCCGTGACCGCGGCCCGCCGGTCCTGCGGCAGCCCGGAGCCGCGCCGGGCCTGCTCCCCCCCGCCACCGCCACCGCCACCGGGGGCTGGGGCTGGGGCTGGGGCTGGGGCTGGGGCTGGGGCTGGCTGGGAGCGGGGCTGGGGCCGGCGCTGGTGCTGGGGCTGCTGGCCGCCCTCCTCGCCTGGCTCTGCTACGGCGGGGGCGGGCGAGGCGGGGAGGGCGGCGGCGAGGGGCCGCGGCGGGCGAGGGGCGAGGCGGCGGCCACAGGTACCGGGGATTGGGGAAGGGGGGGGGGGGAGTGGGGGGGGGGCAGGCACCCGGTGCTCCGGTGTGTCTGGGTCTGGCCAAGCCTGCCCGTGGGGACGGGATTGCTGCTGGCGCTCAGCTTTTAAACCGTAACGGGTTGAAATGTCGTTTCCAGAGGATGAGGCGGCGAGTGGTGAGGGAGCGCTGCTGGAGGCCGAGCCTGCCGCCCCGTCCGGCCCGCGGAAACCGGGAGAGGATCTGGTGTCTGTACCGAGGGAAGAGCTTAACCACGTCCTGAGTGGCGGAGTTTCAGGAGACCCTCTGGAGAAGGAGCAGCCGCTCCCGAAGCGGGCCGCTGCCTACTCCAGGGAACCTCCAGCCGATATGCCTGGCAGCCGGGCGGGTGACTCGGGACCCCAGGCGGGACAGGCAAGCGATGGGTGGTGCGTGATGAGCTCGGCAGGAGCCTCTGGCGACGTTTGGAAGGACAGAAGCGAGGAGCAGCCGGGTGAGCCGGCCGAGGGTAGGGACTTGGACCACGAAGAGTGGGAAGTTGTTTCTGAGCACCTGGCCTGGGGGGAGGCTGGGAAGAGTGGTGGTGTGGAAGACTCCGACAGCAAGGAATGGGAACAAGGAGACTGCCCCGATGGGGACCTGAGAGCAAAGAGAGTCGTGGCTGTGCCCCCCATGTTTCAGAACATCCACGTGACTTTCCGCGTGCACTACATCACGTGCTCTGATGCTCAGCTGATCGGTGTTACAGGTGACCACGAATGTCTCGGCCAGTGGCACAGCTACGTTCCCCTCAAGTATGACAAAGATGGCTTCTGGTCCGAATCCATTAGTCTGCCAGTAGACACCAAAGTAGAGTGGAAATTTATCTTGGTGGAGAATGGGAAGGTCAGCCGTTGGGAAGAATGCGGTAACAGGACCCTTGTGACTGAACACGATGATCAAATTGTGCATCAGTGGTGGGGATACCATTAGTGGGGTTTTGGAAGCTGCTTATCTAACAGCAAACCTGCTTAGATTTACCACAGAGCCCCTAAACTCTACCCTTTCTTCAGTAGGAGACCTCAAGTGCAGAGCTCTGTAAAGTCTGTCTCAAACCTGGTTAAACTGCATGAGCAGCAGGTCCCTGCCAACCCCCCCCCCCCCCCCCCCCCCCCAGGAAACCCATCAGCAACCTGAAAAGTCAACCGCGGGCGCGTCCTGACGGTGGGCAGGGCAGGCTGGGAAGGCGGGAGCGGCATTCCGAGCAGCTGCCCGTCCAGGTAAAGCTGGACCCTGGATTTGAGTTTGTGTTGCTTCGAGCGGGGCTGTGGGATGCACCTTTGTACCAACGGCTTGGGGCTTTAGAAGTGTTCCAGGAAGCGTGGTTACCTGCACTGTAATAGGCGTGTCAGTGTTTTAACTTATGTCATGTATTGAGTAAACAATAAAGACTTTCAGTCTGACAGTCCATTACAGCTTGGCCAGTGAACTGACTTATTTTAAGAACTTCGATAGAAATGAGTTACTCAACCTGCAAGCGCTAAAGATATTCCTGACACGTGGCTGGCCCTCTTTGGACTAACAAAGGTTTAACCCTGAAGTGCTTCGTTCTCTACTCCCTGCTCTCCAGGAAGCACCTCAGCTCAAGCAGGGGCTTGGCAGGTAAGACCCTTTTAGTCAGATCATCCTGCTGAGAGGAGAGCAAAGGTCAGAAGGGACTGTCTGGGCTTAATGAATTACTTTGTCAGGGTGGGAGCAGGCTTGAAAAAAACCTGGACTGCTCTGACAGCTAGGGAACAGGATTCTTTCTGAAATGGAGCTAGGTGGCATATTCTGCCTGCCTAGGAAAAATGCCACAGTATTGTTAGCAGCTACTTTGCTTAAACTTGTATGGTTTTCTTTCAAGTCTAGCCTTTTCAACACATTTATTTGAAGTCGTAGCTTTATAGTAAGCTAGATAAAGTAGAATACTTCCAGCTTTAACAAGTTGATATTTTTTTATATGATGGAAGCAGGAAGCTGCTCTGCTTGCCTGCTTTTCATGTTTTTGGTTACAGATACATGATGCCACTTCAAGCTCTTTGTTCCATAATGAGGAATCTAGCTGTAGCTTGCAAATATTACTTCCCTGAAGTGAGCGTGGTCTGAAGAGCATAGTTTTGTAAGAGCTCTGGAAGGGCATAAATTAGCACTTTGGTTTGGAACACTTACTTCAAAAGCACATTGCTGATTTAATTGCCTCTAATTCTTGCCTGCTTTGCATGGTGGAGCAGTCTGAATATGTGAAATAGACTGGATTTTGGTGATCGACTGGAAGATGAGCTTCAGAGGCTCACCTCCTGCATCTAATGGTTAACGGAGAGCCAGTTGGTGGGACAATACTAGAGCTGCTGTGAAGAACGTGTGTCTGAAATGTTGTTCCTGGGACGCCAGTAGCAGCTGTTCCCTGGAACAAATCCATTGCGAGTTGGCTGGGCTGCCAGTTCAGCCACAGAGTAGCTAAAGAAAAATTTTGGAGGGTGTGGAGGGGAGGCTAAAGAGGGAGAGAGACTAAGGCAAATGAACAGCTTCGTTGGCAAGTTAGAGTTTTCAAGATCTCATGTAAAACAAGCTCCTCCCAGCTGTTGCTACATGACAGAGTAACTTGTTCTGTGGGTCAGTTACTTCTGCAGATAGTTGCTTTGCTCTCTGGTTGTCTCCAGCAACCTGCAAACTCACGTGAACAAATTTCATCTCCTTTTACAGAGGACAACAAGGTAGGAAAGGTGGGTGGGAGCTAAACTCAAACCTGACTAAGCTGGTTGTTAACTGCTTGTCCAGGATGCAAAGTCCCCCTAAGACTACTTCTGGGTGAGAAGTACTGCAGGTTTGGAAGGAGTGTGGTATCGCTTCTGGCAACTGACTCAGAGGGAGAGGATGGAGCTGGCAATTCAGCAGGTGGTTGGTGCCGCATCGGTGGTCTTAAACACAGGTGCACACACTGGTCCTCAACTCCCTCAATAGGAAACTAATAGGGGACTTCAGTTACTTACTGCATGAACTTAAAAGGAAAATAGGACATGGTTTGCAGGCCCTGGGTTGGAAAATAAACATCAGCATTAGGCTCTCTTCATTTTAGGGGCTACTGCTTCACTGTAACAAATACTTCTGCTGTTTAATTATGACTATGCTTACTGTGTATAAACAGAAAACTCTTAAATTCTGTCTATGTGTACCACCACCAAGTACACAAAAGATTTGTGTGGGTTTCATCAGTAAATTACAGTTTAACTGCATAGGTCAAATGGTGCTGGAACTAATGGTTTGGTACCTTAATTGCATTTTTTTGCCATTAGCACTTCTAGCAGTAAGCTTAAGTGAACAATATTCCTCATATACAGAGGCGCAGTTGAAATAGAAATCTTCAGAAATCACTGAAGTCAAACCACGTCATTTCAAGCTGTTTACAAATCTTTCTCCTATTAATGCAAGCAAGCTATTGTCAACTTAATGGAAGATATTGTCAACTCAAAAAGCATTTGTCCAGCAGCCACTGCTATTTGAGTGTATTTAAACAGACACTGGAGGCTCATCTGAGAAGATTAACCATGCTCTTAGATTAAGGTAGTCACTAGAAAGCCACTTAACCTACACTAGAATAGATTCTCTAATGCAGTGATGAACATCTTTCAGAGTAGCCCCAAGAAGTCTATCAAAGGGAGAACAATTTTCTTTTTAATTAAACACTCTGCACTTTGATCCCACAGACAATGCATATAGTTCTCATGATTGCATCATCTTGCTGAATGATCAAGCAAGGTTTCTACAACCTGCACTGCACTTTTGCTATAACCTCTAAATTACTACGCCATTCACATCGTTGCCTGCTCAGCAGGGGCAATGCTATGTAAATTAAATATTATTTGAATGAGGAAAGAAACAACTCTGGATTTTTTCTATTACTGGAGGAGCTGATTAGTATTTTCTCCCAGTTTACAGAGGTGATTTCTCATTGTTGAACAATCTATTCACTGGAAAGTGAAGGCAGATTTAAACAAAGTTGCCTTGCTGCATAAAAATGACTAGGCTAGAATGAGCTGATACCTGTCTGATACAATGTCCTGGCTGGGAGACTAGTGAAGCTACATGTGAGAAACAAGCTCTTGTTGACATTCCTACGTGGGCTGTAACAGCCCAGCAGCCAGCGGCTCAGTAGATCTAAAAGCAAATAATAAATTATCTCACTTGCAGCTTGGCAAAGCAGAAGGACTGCAACCAAAGATCCGTCTTTTAAGTTCACCTGCATATACTGCTGACAACAAACTTCTGACAAATTAGACAATTTGATCACTTTTAGGTGACACGCAGTCTACTCCTATTTGTGAAGTAGTCTGGCGTACAAATGCTAAATGCTGCACCTGGATGGTAAGCTGAGCAGACAGCCTGAGGCTGGAATGGGTGCTGGGCATAAACCAGTTTAAAGTCACATACAGAAACTTGCATCGCAACTTGTTTGCTTCCTACGTGCTTTGCAGGTGCCTTTGCAAAAAACATGCCCATCCCACGTTCTGTCTGGGAGTTAAACTTACTGTTTGGAGTCTTTCCACACGGTCCACTCAAAAATATTAGACTGCTATTAGGTTTTCACTCTATGGGCTTGGCTGCTGCCATCTCTGGTGCACTGCTGTGGTGAAGATTTGCCTAACAGTCCTCCCCTCACCCACCTGTGTGCTATGGAATCACAAAGTGCTGTTTGGGCTGCGAAGTCCAGGATGTACAGAGCTGCTCTTGGGCCCAGGAGTCTATGACCCTTTTGCCTCCCCAGGCCAACTCTTTGCCTTCTGCTGGTGTCAGGGGGGCGGCCCAGACCCGTTCCCACCTCTGCTGGATTCCAGCATGAGGATGTTAAGCCGCCTTTTGGCTTGGCAGCCCTCCCTTCTTTCTGGCTATTCGTACCCCTCCACTCACTCCCTTCTGTTCTCACAGGGCTGCAGTCTTTTGAAACCCTTTTTTAGGTTGGCTCCCTGAACATAACTTGCTGGGCTACGGGGTGAACACACGCTCTCCTTCTCTACAACTCACCATTTTCTTATGAAAACTTTGGGAGATCTGTCAAATGTGTATAGTAAGTCCAAACTGTACTTATATATCTAAAATGATCCTTTCACTTTTCAATGCAACATATTCATAGCAAAGGGGAGATGCCTTTACTAACATACTGACTAAGGTTGCAACACTGTTGCAAAAATGACAGCTTCAGTGGAAAAAAAAATTAGGAAATAGAGAAAATTACCTGAATTAAATCTATATACTGTTAACAATGACTGAGGACAATTTAGGAACAACTCACCGATCTCTTCTTCACATACAAGTGTTGTGGTTTGAGCCTGGCCAGCAGCCAACCACCACGCAGCCACTTTCTCCCCCTTCTCTTCCAGCAATAAGAAAGGACAGATGAGCCAGGCTTGGGGTTCGAGATAGGACTGGGATGGGGAAAAAATCACCCTTTATGGTCACAAGCAAAAGGCAGACTCGTTAGGGGAAGAAAAAAACCCCATACATTTATTACAGACACTAACAACACCTAACAGAGTAGGACAGTGAGAAGCATTGCCACATCTTGAGAACACCTTCCCCCCACCCCTCCCTTCTTCCCGGGCTCAGCTCTGCTCCCGATATCTCTACCTCCTCCCCCAGGGGCGCAGGGGCAGGGAATAGGGGGTGCAGTCAGTGCTGCCGCTTCTGCCATCTGCGGTGGGGGGAGCTTCTAGAACTTCTTCCCCGTGCCCCAGCATGGTCCCCCTCTCACAGGAGACAGTCCTCCACAAACTTTCTCCAACTGGATTCCCTCCCACAGCTGCAGCCCTTCCCGAGCTGCTCCGGCGTGGGACACCCCCGCATGCTGCAATCCTCCCAGCGCTGAATTACAGCAGCGGGGCTGCCTTTTCCCACAAGACCCCAGCCTTCTTGGGGCACAGCACCTTGATAATCCAGGCGGAGCCCCTCACAGGCCATAAATCTGCATCTGCTCCACCGTAGATCTCCATGGGTGGCGGGGGGGGTCGCCCTGCCATCTCCCCACAGGATACAGGGGGGGTCTCTGCTCTGGCACACCTTCCCCCTCCTTTCTTCCTCTGTTCCTCCACTGACCTTGGTGTTCACGCAGCTGCAGCAACTCCTCCTCACCAGTCCCACTCCTCCTCACCACGTCCTTTCTTAAATACGTTCTCGCAGAGGCGCAGCCGAGTGGCTCAGTTTTGGTGCAGAGGTGGAGCTGACTTGGAGCTGGGGGAGCTTCGAGAAGCTTCTCACAGGGGGCCGCCCCGATAGCCCCCTCCCCTGCCACCAAAAAAACCCCACCACTCACTCAACCCAGGACAACAAGACGACCTCAAACTAAAAAACCCTCAGAGATTGGATCTACTCTGAATATAGTTCTGTACCTTTAAAGTCAACAAAACGAAGCTTGTATCTGCATGGCTTGTGCTCATGAAGC